TGTTTTGAACTGTTGTAAAAAAAAATCAATATTACATTTGTAATCATGGTAATTTTTGGAGAAAAAAACTGCATTCTTTTTGTGATATTGATAGAACTATATGAAATGATATAAATATATACATATACATGAATTTTGTGATCATTCTAAATGCATTTTTTTTAGACTGAATAATGCGGTGAAAGAACGCACTCTAAATGTGCACGCACTAGACTTCACGTAATGTAGGCGTGCACTCTGTAGGAATGTTTTGAATGGTTTTTGCAAAATACTCGATAATGTCAAATCGCACATCGTTAAAACAACAATTACGATATTATCGCAGAGGATATATATCGCACACCCCTAGTGGAACGGTTCATGAACCGCACATGTCAATTTTTTTTGTTTACCGCAATGCTAATGTCTCCCCAGGAGTTTCGTAAGGTTATGGCCTCTGTGTTTCCCATCCGTTTACATTCACCCAGCCTCCAATTTTAACACTCGCCAAGGCCAATAAGAAAAATTAATGGCGGTAAATGTTCTCATTTGAGAGAGACAGATGGACTGAGAGCTGGACAGAGACAGCGTGTGTGTTGTGTGTTGTGTCTCAGTGTGGAGCAGCTGCTAAAGGCTGTCAGGAACACAAGCAGCTTCTGTTGTGATTGTTTTTACTGTTGCCTGGAGGAGCGTGTCAATACTGCGCCACTGCGTTACTAATCACCAAACGGCCACCACTGCAGCCGCTTAAAGATTTCCCTTCACTACAACCAGATAGACGTGTCATTTATGGTGCCATATGTTTACACGTTCAATTATTAGTGCTTAGCAGGTATTGACTGTTAGTTCATTTTATTCTTCGTTAGGTTTCTTTTTCTCCCGCACAGTTATCTGCAGGTCAGCCCAAATGGATCATTTTAGATAATTTGTGTAATTTCAGCTGTAGATGTATTTTATTTATAAATTACAGACAAAATTTAAATTAACATTGATTGAATTTTTGGTAAAAATTAAACCAAAAGTGATTAATACTTACTTTCTAATTTCAGCTATATTTTATTTATAAACTTTATACTTTTAATAAAATGTAATATTACAGTTTTTCTTTACCCACACAAGTTAAATTAAAATGAATCTAATATTTAGTAAAAATTAAACCATCAGTGATTATTGTTATGTTCTAATTTCAACTGTGTGTGTTTTATTTATAAACTTTATACATTTAATAAAATTTAAATTAATTTTTTTTAAATTTACAAACAATATTTAAATTAACGTTGAACCAAAAGTGAATACAATTTACAATCTAATTTCAACTGTAGGTGTACTTTTGTACTTTTAATAAAACCTATGTTTACAGTTTTTTATTTACAAATAAAATTTAAGTTAACATTAAATGTTTATTTAAAATGAAACTAAAATTGATCAACATTTACGATCTAATTTTAGCTGTGGGTGTACTTTATTTATAAACTTTATACTTTTTATAAAATTTAAGATGACAGTTTTTTACTAACAGTTTAAATGAACATTAATTGAATATTTGAAGAGTTTGGTTCCAAAATGCTATAAATCCATTTGGATTAATTTGAGTAAAAATGTGTTTTCTTTACCAAGAAAGTGGCAAGATGAAAACCACTATTTTCTGTTTCAAACTTTCACATAGCATCTTTAGGTTATAATAACATTAAAAATTCAAATCCATATTTTAATTTTCAGATATTTATTATAAAATTTAATAATTTTTTCCCCAAAATGCAATAAATCCATGACAATTTTTTTTCTTCAAAATGCAATAAATCCATTGAATCAATACAAAAGTTATTTTTCATATTGAAACTGTTGAAAATAAACAACATAGTAAGTTGATCCACATATGACAGCCTCTGAACTTGGTCAATACTAATCTTATATGCAGGCACTGGACTAAAAATACATTCAATCAGTCATAGCTCCAAAAAGAATTCAACGGGTCATCTTGTTAATGCTACAAATTAATTACAGCAATAAAAGAAAATTTCATCATGAACAACAATATCACATTAAACCACAGAAATTCCAAAATGACATTTCCCTTACATTCAACTTCCAAAAGTGCATTCATCTTTGCCATGTTACATTCATTTAGTTGACTAGTGCTATACGCTGTATTTATGAATTGTTTTGCGGCTTAATATTTACAAATACTAGTGGGAGTGTGCTCACTTGTGTGTGCGCATCGGGGCGGAACTCCGCAGTGCGCGATAACAGAGAGCGCGCGCTGACCATGTAACGTAGAGACAGAAATGACATGCCGTCGTGTAAATAAGATAAATAACATAAGGCTATTTAGTTTGTTTAATAAAAGAACAAGGTATAGACCTATTCTATAGGAAAGGTAACTTTAAATGACTTCTGTTGTATAATTAAATAAAATTAACTTGACCTTCAAGGGGGGCGGGGGGTGCCTTTGGAGGGGCGGGCCGCCCCCCTAATATAATTGCAGGGGAAACACTGTCCAAACTATAACTCAGTTCTGTTGCAGTGCATATGTTGCCATTTTCTTGCAGATCTACTTTCTCTGAAGGCCACTTATTAGTCAAGGTCTCCCGTGATCTTTTCTCACCCTCTTTGACACTTAGAATGAATCAAACTGTTTTAAACATCCCTTTAAGTCTCCTTTATGTAAATGACCTCTGTAATCATAACTCTGCTCTGTAACTTTAGGTTGTAGAGTCGATACAGAGATGAATGGATTTGCCTCAGACAAATTAACAACAAAAGTCCATTACTGACGGAGAGTGAAGTTTAAAGCGAGCGCCCAGGGCCGAGCGACTCTCTTTACAGTCCTTGAACAAGATTTATCACTGACGCTTTTCTGAGGACACCCAAATATGGGATGGAAATTACTAATATGGGAGGTTTCCAGTTAAGCGTGACACTGGCAGGCTGCTGAGGTGAGGCGCTTATGGCTGCGCTCCAGATCTGATACATTACGGACTGTAATTTCAGCACGTAATACAAGCATCTGACAAGCTCTTATCACCAATTTACAGTGCCTTTTTTGGGAGAAACATTTAATATCTGCACACTTACAGATAAGGTCATCATGATAAATTATCATTGAAGAAACTAGCTTGACACACCACTAAACATTATAACTAAAGTATACCTAAATATGCACTTTAAATGTTTAATATTCAAAAATGTATTAGTGTTTTGTGTATAATAAATAAAAAAGAGAAATGGGATTTTTCTTGTTTTTTTTTACTGTATAAAGACAAGAGAAACAAGGAAATTATTCAACTAATATTTTTCATGTTTTTGTAAGATTCACCCTAGAATCTCTTACTGTATAGAAACAAGATAAGCAAGAGGGAAATAATTAACATACTTTATTTATTGTTTTTGCAAGATTCACCCTAGAATTTTTACTGTGTGAAAATGAGAAACAAGAGGAAAATAATTAAAATAATATTTTTTTCTTGTGTTTGCAAGATTCATCCTAGGATTCTTTTACCATGTTAAAATAAAAAACAAGAGGAAAATAATTAAAATAATATATTTTTTTATTGTTTGTGTGAGATTCACCCCAGAATCTTTTTCTTTTCTCTTCCACGTCACTAAACTTCCTTAAAGTAAATCAGCCGGTAACTCTTGCAGAATTAAATTAAACTCCATGGATTTAATTTAACATTGCTGACTTCACTTTCTCATGAGAAGCGTCTCTGTTTCCCGGTTTTGGCTCTCAGTTACCGTTTGCAGTGTTTGTGTCCCGTGAGAGATGGCAGAACTCTCTAGAACATTAGGAAAGTGAGACGGCCGAGACTCTTCAGACTCTTGTGTGGTTTTAGCAGAAGTGATTTACTGCTGTGGCTCTCAGCTAGTGAGTCAAACACCTTCTGTGTGAGTTGGCACGAGTTCCCATGTGAGGGTCGTGTGAAGGTCAGCCCCTCGTGTCCGTCCCGGACTGTACATGTATCTGTCCCGGTGATGGAGCGTGTATGTTAATGTGCTTTTGTGCAGCAGGTGACGTGTCTTTTACAGTCCGGTCTCGTGTTTGAGGTTTAGCAGAAGCCTGAGTCAAGCAGCAGCTGTTCTGTAGTTTATGACTGATGACACTGAATGAAAAGCTTGCATTTGTGTAGAGGAAAGGTAATTTGTACACCTTGTACATGTGGTTTTCTGTGATGTTTTTTACATTACTGTTGCAGATTTCGCTGATTTGTCACCAGGATTATGTCATATACCTGCCTAACACAGATGAGGTTTTGTTGAAGTTGCAAAAATGACTTGTAGCATCAGTAAAAATGAGGTGAAAACCACAAACCAATCAGTAATGTTTTACATCTAATGTCCAGCTATTCAAGTCAAGTCAAGTCAAGTTTATTTGTACAGCGCTTTTCAGCGCTTTTAGAATAGCTATTCTATTCTATTCTATTCTATATAGTTTTTTGTTGTATATTACTATAGTGTATTATATTCATGTCTTTTGTAAAGGGAAAAACTAATGAAAAAACGAAGAAAAGAACATATATATGAAAGGTATGAAAAAAAAAATTCAGATAAAATGATATTGAAAAAAATTCCAAGTGAATTTCCTAATTACATTTATATATAAAAAAATTCAAAATAAATTCCTAAATACATTTATATAAATATTTTTAAATTGTTATAAAATGAAATTTTCAATGTTTTTTATTTATTTATTAATCTTTTGATTTTTCCTAATTTTCTCATAATTTAATTTTATATAAATAATTTATATAAATAAAATATATATTTTACATTTTTGTAAAATAGTATTTAATTATTTCTTTCTTTCTTTCTTTCCTAATTTTCTAATACATTTAATAGTATATAAATAATTTTTTATTTTATTATTTTATTTTATGGCATGGCATGGCATGGCATGGCCAGAAAAAGCTGCAAAGTGGGCCTGACTTCATAATTAATGCACCAAATTGAAGAAAGCACATTTTGCAAACCAAATGCCCCGTGATTATTAACATACTAAAGAGGTTGTATTCTCTCTCTTATAGGTAGAAAATTCATCATAGCCAATGCACGGGTGGAGAACTGCGCCATCATCTTCTGTAACGATGGCTTCTGTCACATGTGCGGCTACACGAGGGCTGAGATCATGCAAAAGCCCTGCACCTGCAACTTCCTGTACGGCCCACACACCAAGAGGCTGGCCATCGCGCAGATGGCACAAGCGCTGCTGGGGTCAGAAGAGAGGAAGGTGGAGATAGCGCTCTACAGGAAGGACGGTAGGAATAACGCAGCCGCTTATTAATCCACAGCGCGCCGGCATTTCATTAGAACCTTTCTACAGCAATTGCTTTTTTAGCAGGGTGTTTCTCAGGTTTAATGCAAAGCATGTGAAGGCAGATGGCCTTCTGTTGTTCTGTTTTGTTTAGTGTTGGATCTCATGGTAGTTTTGAACACAACTGCGTGATCAAACGTTTGTAGGTTTGCGTTAGTCTTTTGCTTAAAGACCTGCTGGACCTTGAAAAGGCTTCAGTGGGAATCTGAAGCGGTTTGTTTGTTTTGCTTGTGCGATTACCTCCGACTGTTCTAGCTCAACAACTCTGGTTTGATAAAATAATGTCTCATAGATCAGTCGCTGGAGAGAGATTTGAAGGGAGGATTCGCCGCGCCTGCAGGTGGCGTCGTTTATGTGATGTCGGTATTGTTTTAGTGCTTATTTACCGAAGCGATTATGCAAATCAGCTCCTGGCTGAACTGGATTGTGAGTGGTTAGTGTCTGCGATGCAGTGAAATCACGCAAACATGCCGTGCAGGTTTTGTGAGTCTGCTCTTGAGGTTCGTGACAGCAGATGTTTGCTCTCAGCTGATGGTTGACGTTCTTGTGCAGCTGTGGACTGCACAGCATCACGCTAGCCATCATAGTTTCCACTGTTTATGTGTTCGGCTGTCTGTTTGATGTTCGTCCCGTACCCAGCACCCTCCTGACCTGCGCTGGAACAGGACATTAGCATACCTTGTTAAGCAATACAGTTTAGTGGTTACTAATGACTCAACTGCAATGGTTCTTAACCTTTTTACTCAAAGCAATATTTGAATTTCTCTCTGTATATCTACTTTAATTATGATGAAACTACTTTAAAAAAAATATTTTAACAGAATTTTTATTAAAAGAAATAATTAATAATTATTAATAATTAAATACAAAATTTAAATAATGTATTTATTCCTAACCATATTAATTAATTTATTTATTTGTTTACATTATTTTATTTATTTGCAGTATTTATGTATTTACATTATTTATTACATTATTTATTTACCTCATATTTAATGTTTCTCAACCTTTTTGACATTAAGTCTGCCATTAAAGAACAATATTTGACTTTCTTTTACATATTTCACCTTTAAATATGATGAAACTACATGTTTCAAAACTTTTTTATTTACAGAAATGGGGTGTTGATTAAACTAAATAAAATAACATTTATTTATTTACAGTATTCATTGATTTACATTATTTTTTTTATTACATTTACATTATTTACATTATTTATTTGTAGTATTTTTTATTTTCTGATTCTAGAAATTTCAAGAACTGTATATTCTTCAGTAAAAACAACAGCTTTTGGGAGGAAAAATAAATATTTATAAATAAATATGATTTCAGTTTACATCTTGATTTTATGTATTTTAAGTAAGATCATTTTAATATAATTAGTTAAAATAATTTAAGTCATTCTGAAGCCCACTGCTCTAATATGATCAGAAAGTTGATTGCAGAAGTTTCTCTTTTTTTAACTAAAGTGGGCTGATATGTGATACTAGTCTATCAAGCCTTATGGCTGGATGATAAAATATATCTTGAGAGTGTATAGCTCTTTATAGCTCTTTTCAGCCTTTTATCGATATATTAGTTTGACCTTAATGTCTTGATACTCATGACGATATTTAATAGGCCAGTATATCTTGATTATGTATTTGCTCTGAATGACCCTTTACAGATTTAAATGCTGTATTACTCTTATATGTACAGTCAAGTATGAAGGAGCATTTTAGTTCTTTTCGCTGTCATCATTCAAATCTGCAAAAAGTTCCGCCGCTGGAACTGTCGACCCCAGGAGGTTAAAAGGATTTTTATTCCAGTCAGGATCCATAATTTGGAGCAAACAGCCTTTTTTCCCCAAGTAGATGTAGATCACATATGACCCGCTGCTATTTTAGTGTTTTTACATGAGCTTTAATGAAATTCAACTTAATTTTATTTTGAGATTTAAGTTTGACAAAGACGTCAGTAGTTTTTTCTTGTAATTTCAGTTATGATGTAAACATGTTTGTAAGACATTAATGATTCCATATGTGTTTTTTTTTTCTTTTACATGTAACTTTAATAAAAGTTTGTCACGTTTTGCCATGGTTTGTCAGTTTCCTGTGAGTTTTGGGAATTAAGATCTGGTCTTATTCAGAACCAGTTCAGTTTTTTTTATTATACTTGAACCAAATGTTTTTTATCAATATAAAACTGTCATAAAAAAAAGGTGAAATATTTCATTTGTTACCTGCATATCATGCAACCATTTACCAACATCAGAGAACTGAAATATTATTGAAATATAAATGATAAAAATATTAAATTATTGCAATATTAACTTAATATCTCAGGTGGTACTTCAAGTAAATATTTCAGGGTTTAAACACGTTATAAGGTACAGTAGATGTGAATGGTTAACGTATTTTTTTTTCTTTCCGGGAATACTATATTATGAAATATATTTTTGATTTATTATCATTGTTCTTTAATTGTCCAATTTGGCAATAGGTTTCTGATAGTAAATGTAATAAAAATTATGTAAAAATTACAGAAATGACTGGAACCAGTATCGCACAAATTCCTCTGATTTTTCTGACATACAGCGGCGTCTCACGTTTTGTTTCTCCCCTCTGTTAGATACTGACTCAACGATGAAAGCTGCCATCTATCTGAAACACACTCACATATGCATCCGCCCCCACACACACACAGAATCTAGAATCAGGCCTTGATGACGACATACACACTTTGATTCACTCATGCATAATTCAGGTGGAAAAACCGTGCTGCTCCAGAAACGGGGATTCCGATCTTTTCCCTCGTGAGCGGAGAGGAGGAACGGGAGAAGGAAACTTTCTTTTTTCTTCTTCTTCTTCCCTTTCCTGGTTTTCGTGCGGCCATTTATCTGGTGTGCTGTGCGTTGGCATCAGCCTTCATCGTGATGGATTGCCCTTTCCTACTCTCTATTGTCCGTCGCTGATCTGACCGGCACTTAATCAATCACTCTGAGTTTTAAACCCAACTCGGGTGCATTACCCATGAAAACAAGAGGAAGACAGTGAAAGTGAGGGAATCTAACGTGTGAAAAGAGCCGGGGTAAAAAGGGCACAACCTAATATTTCCCATGGTGCACTGGCTTCTCAATCTGCTTCATGTACTCTGATGTAGGGCCCTATAAAATCTCTCTTTTTTTTTTTTTTGCAAAGTCTGTTTTATTTTTTTTCCAAATTCTGTTTTTTTTCTTTTCTATTCTGTTTTAATGATTAAATTATGTTTTAGTAATCAAAAAGCAAGTCTAATTAATGAAGTCATGAAACGACAACCTAATGAATATAATTTACAAACAATTTATTAAGTTAACAGAAACTTGAATGTTCTAATTAATAGAAGTCATGAAACATATACTATTTAACAACAATTTATTAACATTTTAAAAGAAATGGCATTTGTATGGTCCTATGAAATTTGTTGTAGTTTTCTTCCAAATTCCATTTTATTTGTTCCAAAATTCTGTTTTGTGATATTTTTTCTGAATTAAAATACATTTTAGTAATTAAAAAGCATGTATAATATCCAAAAGCATGTATAAACTAAAGTCATGAAACTTATAAAATTTTGCAGCAGTTTATTAAAAGTTTAACAGAAATGACATTTTAGGGCCTTACGAAATCTGTTCTAATTGGTCCCAAATTCAGTTTTCCAAATTCCATTTTATTTGTTCTAAAATTCTGTTTTGTGATTTTTTTTTTCTGGATTAAAATACATTTTAGTAATTAAAAAGCATATATAATATTCAAAAGCATGTATAAACTAAAAGAAATTGCCTTTGTATGGTCCTATGAAATTTGTTGTAGTTTTTTCCAAATTCCATTTTATTTGTTCCAAAATTCTGTTTTGTGATATTTTTTTATGGATTCAAATACATTTTAGTTATTAAAAAGCATGTATAAAATCCAAAAGCATGTATAAACTACAGTCATGAAACTTAAAAAAAAAAAAAAAAAAAGTATTCAGTTTATTAAAAGTTTAACAGAAATGACATTTTAGGGCCCTATGAAATCTGTTCTAATTGGTCCCAAATTCAGTTTCCCCCAAATTCTGTATTTTCTATTTTAAATTTTCTGGATTCCGTTGTAATGGTGTTATTAAATTTTAATGTGTAGTTAATTAAATAAATAAATATATATATATATATATCTGTCATGAAGGTTTTGGTGGGTTGTAGTGAAGACCTTTGAGTTTCTTTGTGTATTTGTTTATAGTTTTGCTCAGAGCAGCTCTGGAGATGAAGTTCATGTGTTCATTTTCTAATATAATGATGCAAGATGCTGAAAACACCATAAGCGTCACATGTGCTTGAGTGTGTAGTAGACCAAACTGTGCCACTCATTCACACAGAACATGCAGACTTCACATTTCAATAGCAGTGAACAGACACTAGTTCATATCCATATGTTCTGCATTGCAGAAATCACAGGGCCCAGTTGATGCTACACAATAACACTTTCCTCTCAGCATGTGATGAATGTCAAGACGCTCTTCTGCTTGCTAACCGTGTTTTCCAGGAATTGTGTGATCGGCTTGGCTTAATTGAACCGTGAGATTTTACCAGCTGCTCTTGGTGTTGAACGTATTAGAGCCGCATTGTTGACGTGCAAAAGCAGTCGTAGTTCTGCAGTGACCCTTTGAGCAGAAACCTGACCTTCATGACCTCAGGGATCTGATTATTTTTCCCTACAGCAGCTTTGTGATACCAGTTTCCTAAAAATAGCCTGTTTCATTTGCTTGAGTAGTGTTCTGTAGATTATCTTCTGCACGGGCTGCACCTGTCTCGTGGGCTCCGTGAGGGATCTCCTCCACGTTTACAGCCTGATTCTTGGCAGGAACCTCCTCCGTTAAGAGCCAAGCAATATTTGATTAGCAGGCTCTCTCTGTGCGTTACTCGTTTTCATTTATTGGGCGTAATTGTAG